TTTATTACAAAGCGCGGCGCGGCGACTACTGCCAACACCGATCAACGCCGCGCGCGTCGGTCGCCATTTTGTTTGTTATTCGGCTTCTAACCTCTGGTCTGATAGCACGAATGTTTTTTCTGCGCTCACGCTGTTTAGTTATTGTTTTTGTTAAGTTTTTCGTTACGTTGTGTTTGTGGTAATTGTTGTGTTTATTTGTTGCTATATTGTTTCGTACAAATGATATGGATCCTCAACCAAGCACGTCAAGCCAAAGCTTGTCTCCAAGAAAGAAGAGACCACGGATTGCTTTAAGCGTTACCGAAAAACTTATGATACAAAACGTCTACAAACACGTATTTGAGGAAAAAGCTGCTTCACTATTACCTATTGAGGCCCCCGAAAAAAAAGAATGTGTTTCGAAAACAGCTGACATTTTGGGAATTGGTGTGACCTCAGTTTACAGTGTGTTAAAAGAATGCAAAGAAAATGAACAATTTAAGTCTCCCGAGAAACGTGGACCGAAACACAGTTTCAAAGATAAATTAGACGATTTTACTTTTGCCGCTATAAGGCGAAAAGTACATAATTTTTTTTATGCAAATGAGTCACCCACCATTATAAAGGTAACTTAAACTTTATTCCTTCTACTGCATTATATTCTGTGTCCACCATAATGTTCTTTGTAAAACCAAAGTATTAGATTGCGTAGACTTCCTTACTCAAAACATATTTTTATTACTTTACAGATTCTTAAGGTTGTCAATGAAGACCCAGACTTACCCAATTTTTCTTGGAGTACATTAAGAAATGTTATGAAACATTTAAATTTCAAATATGTCACAAAATCAAGACACAGCATTTTAATTGACAGACAGGACATTATTCTATGGCGCCAGCGATACCTTCGAAAAATTAAAGAGTATCGAAGGGAAGGAAGGTATATTTATTACCAAGATGAAACCTGGATCAACGAAGGTAATTACAATTTTCTGTTTTCTTTACATTAAATTGTACTTTCAATAATTAATTGATATTTTTCACTATCTTGAAGGTCATGCACCGAAGAAGGCATGGATTGACCAGACAGTGTTATCGTCCCGCCAGGCCTTCCTAGATGGCTTGACCACTGGCTTAAAACAGCCTTCAGGAAAGGGCAAACGATTAATTATCGGCCATATAGGCGGGGAAGAAGGATTCGTAGAAGACAGCTTATTAATATTTGAAGCCAAAAAAAATAAAGAAGATTATCATCAAGAGATGAATGCCGATTCCTTTGAGAAGTGGTTTAGGGGGGTCTTGCCAAAACTAAAACCAAATTCCGTAGTAGTGATGGATAATGCCCCCTACCACTCCAGGAAACTAGAATCGCTGCCTAAAATGTCTTGGACTAAACCTAGAATACTAGAGTGGCTAACGAGCAAAAATATTTCATTCGAAGCAACAATGGTTAAAGCTACTCTTATAGACATTGTACGGCAGCACAAGCAAGAACATTGCGATAAGTATGTTGTGGACGAGATGGCAGCGCAGCATAGGATAATTGTTTTACGTCTGCCCCCATACCACTGTGAGCTCAATCCCATTGAGTTGGTATGGGCGCAGGCTAAAGGATATGTTGCAAGAAATAACAAAACCTTCAAAATGACAGAAGTAAAAAAACTTTTTGAAGAAGGACTTCAACATATCACACCTGAAAAATGGAATAGCTGCGTGTCTCATATAATTAAAAAAGAAGACAAAATGTATGGTCTCGACCACATGATTGACAATGTTACTGACAGATTTTTAATTAATGTCACCGAAAGCGATAGTGATGATTTTTTATCTGATAATGAATAAAAACAAATTATGTAATAAGCGATTTTTTTTATTCTCATTACCTACCTATAATTGTTATATTTTATACATCTATAGTTTCAACTACATGATGTATTGAAAATAGGACAGTCTTACAAGTTTCCTCGCAATATTTTCCTTAATGTTTAAAACACTCGGTATTCAGTATAGGTAGATATTATAGGAACATAGTCGTCGAAAACTCGTTGGTATGTACAAAGCACGACTAAAATTCGAACCCCGTACCCGATATCGGCAGTTCAGCACACTAACTATTCACTAGACAATCGAGGCAATTTCATTAATTCAGGAGTTTTTCAATCATTCACTTTGTCACAACACTATTTTTATTTCATCAAAAACTGACAACACAGTAAACGTCAGTTGACTTCGTCTAATTAAAAATACGACTATACTACTCCACACTCTACTATCTCACATATAGGGTTACCATATCTCAGGATTTGTCCTGAGATCTCAGGATTTTTGGACTCTTCTCAGGATTGCGGCTGGATTTTGGAAATATCCTGAAATCTCAGGATTTTTTGAATTTTCAATACAAACTAAAAATAATCTTCCTTTGGTAATAATTGCACAATTAAAAATCAAATTTTATTTATCCAAGTAGGTACTTAAACAGTTTTATCATACTTAATATGTGAAGATATCGTTTTAAGTAAGGTTTTTTTCTTTAAGTATTGATTTATAATATAATGCCCACAAACTCTTCAAATTATGTATATTGAATTAAAAGTATAGCTCGTACTGAAGACACCGTGTGTCGGTTTCTTTCATTCGGCCATTGAGCCCCCATAATAGAAAAAAATCTTTCTACGTTTACATTCTGGGCTCTAATTGCAAATATATCTTGACAAATAGGCATTATCTCTGGTAATCGTGAATTACCTATTATTGTCTTGAAAACGGTTAAAGCATATATTATTTCATTTTAAATTGAGATTGATTGATGATGATTTACTTGAGTATGGTTAAAACAGTCCAATCTTCGCAATGGGGTGGAACTGAGTGAGTGTGCGACACTGCTATCATAAGAACGATGTCCCTGCCTATAATGTTGACTTTTTTTTAAATTTTTAAGTACGTTGGGGAGAAATTTCTCAAACTGTAAAAAATCTCAGGAATTTTCACGGGAAATCAGGTCTTTTCTCTGGACTTTTGATTTTTTCATCTGGTAACCCTACTCACATACAAATAAAGCAAGGGTACTTTGTGAATCCAGTTTGCTGACCAAGTAAAAATTTAACGATTTTTAAATCAACGCAAATTGATGATCATTGTAATAAATATTTTGTACCATTAATTTAATATTTTGATATTCTTCTTATGGTTCCGTTGAATGGGCAGTTGGTATTGATGGAAATCTATTTGAATGATGCAATAAAACACATTTTATACTCTTTTTGCAGCTATTAATAAAGAGCCGCCATTTGACTGTAACAACACTGTCTTAAAGCCAACAGTTCTGATGCTTGTTTTCACAAATTCAGAACTCAAATTAAATTGCTAAGCTCATTTTGAGAAAAGAAATGTGGTAAAGAGGTTCCACTTTAATCTTCACTTCCAATTGCAGACTATACTGAATGTTAAGTTTCCGAGGTTAAGGAATATCTTCACAGTGCAAAAAAGGACATCATGCAGACTGTAATATTGATATTTTCACATTTTATTTCGATTGGAACCTTTATGTCTACTACGCAAAAGTAGCATTCATTAAAATGATTATTGGACTCCATCCAGATCATAAGGATACTAAAATTTAACCCGTTCCGTTCTCCTTTCTTCCACAAACGTAAAGACTCAACACAAGATTTACAAACCTACTTTATCTAGTTTTTCAATATGTAATCCGAAATATTCAGTATAAACTTCCTTAACAAAGTCTGTGATACTTCGTACCTTGTTAGTTATCATATAAACATCACAGATCTAACAAAATACATCAGCGATATATTTGCAATTTATTCGCGATGCATTCATATTTCTAGAACAAAAAAGTATATTAGAATCGAATTTCAATAAATAAGACATAATATTAACCTCACAAATTAGCAAGACGTGCATCCTCCAGTCAGGAGCACGGGGGCGTAGAGGAAGGTAACATAATATAGTCAATGTGCAGAAACCGATTTTTAGGAAGATACTAAACACTTCATAATAATTCGTGTTCTAAAAAGCCAACTTAAAGTGTGAATTGTTAAAAATATAAAATAAGCCAAAGTTATATAAATCAGAGCCAATTCAAGTAATTTTATGAATATAATATTAGAAAACTCAAGACTTGAAAACATAGAAATCCGTAGAGATATCCAGGGCAATATTTTTTTGTAAAGCTGTTTTCGGTAGATATATTCAAAGACAAATTCTGGAAAACTACAAATTTTAGGTAGTCGGCGTCGATAAAGTTATTGGTGCGGTTAGTTTCAAGTACTAAATTTGCTTACTGTTCGCACCAATAACATTTCTAACATTTTGGTTATATCATACATTAAAGTGACAGCAGACAGTGATTTTTCTTCTTATTTCTCAGACATGCAGGTTTTCTCACGATGTTTTCCTGGTAGCCGAGCACGTGGTAAATCAGCATTTTCATTGTAGCTGGTGGGGATTGAACACGGGTTGCTCGCATACTGCGAAATTTACAGCGGGCACCCATCTGAGCTACCATGACTCTTGTGCTACCACGGCTATCATATATGTATATAGCATAAAATAATTACTCACTTTCAGTTTTTAATAGATCAAAGGTTCGAAGAAATACAGTTATAAATACGAGATATAATACTAATGTCGTCCAGACTGAATTTCGGTCACGACGGCCAGTCTCCAACGGAGACTAGCCATTTTCGCAGGACAGCATTATAGTGCATGAGTGTATGCGTAAGAACAGGTGCATTGGCTATATCAGGCTAATGGAACTGTAATCAAACACAACTGGAGAGAGATCAGTCGCAGGAGCTACGGCTTTATGTGCTTTCCGAGGCACGGCGGTGAAACACCGTTAACTTTCTGACTCCAGGGTAACTGATTTTGGGCTAACCCAGGATTCAAACCCGAAATCTCATTATCAACAATGTTTACAACCAGACCATCGAGGCAGATAATATAAGAGTCTGCTATTACAATTATAAGACGATGACATAAGCGAGGTTTGCAGTGCGTACGGTCGAAGCGCAGCACGAGCAGCTCCCAGCGGTCCGCCAGCGCGAGTGGGCCGGCCAGCAGCAGCCGCGCGTCGCCTGGCGCCCAGCGCGCCGCGCCCGCCGCCGCCCAGCCGCGTGCGCGAAGGCTGCCGCCCCAGCCGCGCGCCCAGCGCCACCCGCCGCCCGCCGCCACGCGCTCCCACACCTGCCACAATCGAATACAATTGAATAGAACGGAACGGATTGGAATTGGAACAAAACAGAACAGATAGTATAATTTTCATTCTATATGATAGATTATAACGTACTTGTGGAAAGTTATTTCTTGATTTACCACTGGTTCCGAAAATAATTCTGTGTATATGTAATATTTATATATATATATTACATTTAAGTTAATAAAGGTCGTCACTCCATCTAGTGGGGGGACGCCCTACACTTCGCCTGCCGGTACGAGGCTGCCACTCGAGAACCTTTCTTCCCCATCGGTTGTCGGTTCTTCGAGCTATATGGCCGGCCCATTGCCACTTCAGCTTACTAATCCGTTGGGCTATGTCGGTCACTCTGGTTCTACTGCGGATATCCTCATTTCTGAGTTTATCACGCAGAGAAACTCCGAGCATAGCCCTCTCCATAGCTCGCTGAGCGACCTTGAGCTTCCTCATCCGGCCAGCAGTGAAGGACCACGTCTCAGTTCCGTATGTCATCACTGGCAACATGCACTGGGTGTACAGTCTCGTTTTCAAGTTTTGAGGTATACCTGACGAGAAGATGTGCCGTAATTTCCCGAACGCTGCCCAACCGAGTTGAATCCGTCGATTGACCTCTCGGTCGAAGTTGGACTTACCTAGTCGGACTATTTCTCCCAGGTAAACATACTCGTCAACAACTTCGAGCTTAGTGTTCCCAACAACTACCGGCATAGGTGTGACATGGACATTAAACATGATCTTTGTTTTGTCCATGTTCATCTTAAGACCTATCCGTTGGGAAACACTATTGAGGTCATTGAGCATAGTGCTTAGGTCCTCCAGCGATTCTGCCATAAGGACTATATCGTCGGCAAATCGAAGGTGAGTGATGTACTCGCCATTGATGTTGATACCGTATCCTTTCCAGTCCAGAAGCTTGAAAACATCTTCCAATGCAGCGGTAAAGAGTTTCGGGGATATGACGTCACCCTGTCTTACACCTCTCTGCAATTGGATAGGTTTCGTACTCTGGTTCTGTACTCGGATAGCCATCGTAGCCCTACTGTACAAGCACTTCAACACTTCGATATACCGACAGTCAACTTGGCATCGCTGAAGGGACTGCAGCACCGCCCAAATTTCGACGGAATCAAAGGCTTTCTCATAGTCCACATACACCAGACATAGTGGCAAATTGTACTCTTCGGACTTCTGCACAATTTGCCGAAGAGTATGTATGTGGTCTATGGTGCTAAAGCCTTTTCGGAAACCGGCTTGTTCGGGAGGCTGGAAGTCGTCAAGTCTGCGCGCGAGACGATTCGTAATGACTCTCGAAAACAGCACGTAGACGCGGCTCAGAAGGGAAATCGGTCTGTAGTTCTTCAAGAGAGCGTTGTCGCCTTTCTTGAAGAACAAGACCACCGCACTTCTGCTCCACGCCTCCGGTGTAATGCCACCATGGAGGACGGAATTAAAGAGCTTCTGAAGGACTTCAAGTACCGGTTTTCCACCCGCTTTCAGAAGCTCCGCTGTAATTCCATCCTGGCCTGGGGCCTTGCCGTTTTTAAGGTGCTGGAGAGCCATTCTAATCTCGCTCAGACTGACGTCCGGGATATCATCGGAATAATGTCGGATAAGACTCGCTCTTGGATCGTTACTCACACTTGCGTGTGGCTCCAACGATGACGTGTACAGCTGCCCATAGAACCTCTCAATCTCACTCAAACACTCAGGTGCCCCGGAAACGATGCTGCCACATTCGGTCTTCAGCTTTGACAGTTGGCTCTTTCTGGCAGACAGATCTCTGGCAAAGACTTTGCAGCCTTGGTTCCGCTCGATCGCTTCTTCAATACGAGCTGTATTGAAGTTGCGTAAGTCCCGCCGCATGCATTTGGAGATCTGTCTGTTCAGTTGCCTGTATGCTGTCAAATCTGTTGAAGAATGTAGCTTCATCTCCCGTCTAACAGCCATGAGATTAAGAGTGTGATCGGAGAGTTTTTGTGTTCTTCTGCGGCGGGTCTTGCAGAACTTAGCTCCGACCGCATGGACAGTTTCCACGAGCTTGTCATTCAAATCGTCCACTTCATTGCAGTCTTCTAGGCACTGAAAACGGTTTTGCAACTCGAGCTGAATGGTTTCGGGACTTTGGATTAGAGCACGAGGGGGACGGAGCGTTGACTTCATTAGACGAGACCTCTCCAACTTAACGTTTAGGTTCAGTGTGCCTCTAACCATTCGGTGATCGCTGCCGGTTTTCACCCTCGCGATCACTGAGACATCACTGAACAGTTGTCGTCTGGTCGTCATAATGAAGTCAATCTCATTTTTTGTCGAACCGTCGGGGCTCGACCAGGTCCACTTCCTGTGGGGCCGCTTCTGGAAGAAAGAGTTCATCATAAAGAGTCCCTCTTTCTCCATGAAGTCGGCCAACTGCTGGCCCCTTGGGTTCCGTTGCCCTATTCCAAATTTCCCCACTTTCAGCTCACCGTTCTCTCTTGTGCCTAGTTTTGCATTGAAGTCTCCCATTAACACCGTATATTGGGTTTTGGAGGAATGCTTGGCTCTAGAGATATCCTCATACATTTCCTCCACCTCCTCATCGGGGTGTGCCGAGGTTGGTGCGTAAACCTGTATGACCTTCAGCGAATACCGTTTGGTGATTCTGAGTATAAGGTACGCAACCCTCGTCGACACACTCTCAATCTTTACAACGTTGTTAACGAGAGACTTGTGGACGATAAATCCGACACCTCCTTGGGACAGATGGTCGCCCTCCCGGTGATAGAGCAAGTTGCCGGATTCGAGGATTACCGTGTCCTCCCCTCTCTTCGGACTTCGGATAATCCTATAATATGCCAGCGTAACTTGTCTATCTCTTCTTCCAGCTCCACAATCTTCTCGTCAGTCCTCAGGGTGCGTGCGTTGTATGTTGCCAGGTCGAGTCGTTGTAGGTGGCAACCGAACCTCCACCGGAGATTCTTAGCACCCCCTGCCCCGCCGTTACCATGGTCAAGTTAATAAATATTCAACTAATATTCAAATCCTTAATGTTATAATAACCCCTTTTGTGAAACTAAAGTTTTAAACTTGTTGGTTAAAAATCTTTGTACATTTTCTGCAATTTTGTTGTAAAATCGTACAGATTACCTCTTAAATAAATTACTAATTCTGTGATCTAGTAACTTGCGTTACAAGTTTATGCTTATTCCTCATGTTAAAAATATGAACATCTTTATTCTTATCAAAGCTATTCATGTCTATAAGTATATTTTCATAAATATATTGCGATGCCAAAGTTAATATTACGTTTATATCTTTAAATTTTTTTCTTCACATTTCTGTTATATATCACCCGTACGGTCCTATTTACAAAACAAATGTGACTTTAATGTCAGTCGCATTATCCCATAGTATACAAATAAAACCGGCCAAGTGCAAGTCGGACTCGCGCATGAAGGGTTCCGTACCGTCGTACAAGATTTAATACTATTTATGTAGGTCAAAACACGTTTCTAGTAGCGGAGCCCCTTTTAATTTTTAATTTATTTTTATTTTTACCATGTTTTGTTATAGCGGCAATACAAATACACATTATGTGAAAATTTCAAATGACTACCTATTACGGATCATGAGATATGGCCCGCTGACTGACATACGGACGGAGAGGGGAGGCTTAGTTATAAGGTCCTGTTGGGTACCCTTTGGTTACGAAACCCTAAAAAGACGTGGAATACTTTACTTTCATCTACAAAATATGAAATATTAGAAGTGTCACCAATATTAAAACAGTTACATTAGTTTATTGTTATTACTTTCATAGCCCAACAACAAACAGTTTCGTTCAAGTGTGTGAAATGCGACAATACCCAAGCAGCATGCAAGCTGTATACGAGCTGTATTGGCGTTCCTTTTCATACTAGAGGCTGCATTTACTGGCTGTACAAAGGCTGTATAAGCGCTTATACAGCTCCTATAAGTAAAAAAATTGGCACAAATTATACAGCTTTATGCGTTAGTACCGCTGTACAGCAGCTGTACAAGCATAAAAGCGGGTGTATTATAGCTTTTATTTGGTGTACAAGGAAACTATTACACTAAAAATACTATCTTATAAGTATCTTTTAAAGATGAACATTCTAAATTGGTGTTTGAACGGTCATTACAAATGAATTTATGACAAACATAACGTAATAGATTTATTTATATACTTTATTGAATGATGGCGACATTTAGTGAGTGAAAGATTATATTACATATTAATATTACTTGGATTGGAGTTGAGTTTTGAGTGATAACTGGTGAATAGAAAGTGCAAAATTAGATTATTTTTTTTAGGAGAGGGGGCAACGAGCATGCGGCTCACCTAATGGTAAGTGACTACCGCCGCCCATGAACAACTGCAACACCAGTTAGGGATTCACAGATGCGTTGCCGGCCTTTTGAAAAGGAGTACGCTCTTTTCTTGAAGGTCCCTAAGTCGTATCGGTCCGGAAAAATCACTGATGGTAATCGATTCTACAAGGAAGTCGTGCGAGGAAGAAAACATCTTCTAAATCGCAAAGTGGTGGATCGCCAATCATTCAGATGGTGTGGATGGTATCGGGAGTTCTGCCGCGATGTGAGTTCGTGAAATTTGGCGGCTGGGATTAATCCGAACAATTCCTCAGATCACTCCCCGTGGTAGATACGAAAGAAAATGCAAAGGGATACAACATCTCTTCGCAGTGCCAATGAATCGAGCCGATCGAAAAGGACTCGGTCATCGGCAATTCGAGCCGCTCTGCGCTGGATGCGGTCAAGTGGAAGAAGCTGGCACTGGGGAGCTCCTGCCCAGAGATAAGAGCAGTAATCCACGTGAGGTCGAACCTGCGCCTTGTAAAGTTGCAGGCGTTGTGCCGGCATGAAAAAACAGGCAAACAGCTCGTGGTATGTTTTTGAGCGGAATTCTGCCTCCTCCCCCCCCCCCCCCCACAGAATACGCGGGGCAGCCTGAGCACCCACGCTCAGAAGTGGA